AGTAGCATCCTTGCTCCTAGTAGCGATGCCAGGAGCCCCTAGTAGCGTTCTTGTTCCTAGTAGCCCCTAGTAGCGACTTTGTTTTCCATGCTTAAAGACTAAGACAATGCGCACTTGTGGCATCGCCCAAAGACGATGCGTGTGCGGCAGGTGCAGCAGTTGATCCTGCGTGGCTTACCGTTGGAGGATAAGATTCTTCAGGTTCGACCGACACACAAATCGACCGCATGTTTCGCAGTTGCTGTAGCACACAAATCCAGAGAGAGGAAGAGGAAGAGTTGCATCTAGAAGTGAAGAGTTGTGCGGAGATGACTCTGAGATGACCAAACTAAGGCAACTCACGTTTCCATGTTGATCCCATAGGAAATCTCTAAAGACTTTTAGGCCCGGCGTAAAAGAATTCTGCCGATGTTCAGTGGAGGGCAAGTAGGAAGATTGTTGAAAAGGCATTCAACTGGTATCCAGTAGTTCATTTCCAGGGATAATGCCATTCACGGACGTTCCAGTTCCCATTAATGATGGCTTTGTCATACCTTCTTTGGCATGTGAGTCACTTGGCAAAGGAAGTCCTCCTTTGGTTTCTAAGTCTTTACGAGCAGGAGCTGCTCGCCAAGCTGCCGGAGCTTGAGCTCTTGGATTTGGGCCGATGTGCTTCGGTGACATTTCGACAAGAACGAAGCTGCGTTGACTTACAATCAAGTGAACGAATCATTGAACACCATAGCCGATTGACTGTTGGTGAAGAGTATCGGGGTCGCCACTACATGATTGCTGTAGGCATTCATTCAAAGCAAATGTACTAGACTGTATTTGCTCTTGTGTTCTTGGCCTCACTCTCTTTGGAGCTTTGAAACTCTATCAATCCATGCCAGTCCTCTCAGACTCCAAACCAATGATAGCATGATATCCTCTCCCATGAGGTTGGAGTCCATTGCTATCAGGTTTGTTTGCTTCGGTTCGCTTAGATTTGTGTCCTCTCCTTGTTCGTTCCAGGCTGCGAGCTCACGCCCAGCTGCGCCTCTTCGCTGGCCTTGCCGAAGCTCCAGAGCTTATCGCTGGATGGCATGGCCACACTGGAGGCCCCGATGTGGTCCATGTAAACGAGGAGGCGGCCAGGCAAAAAGAGGCACCAAAAAGCCAGGCAAAAGCACGCAAGAAGCGTCCGAATTTCAGGAGACATGGCGACATTATACTCCCTGGAATCATGGGCCACCGTGGATGGTCCCGAGCAATCGGATGACGCGGTCTCATCCGAATACCATAGACCGATGGTGAACTATACTTCCATTCCAGGGAGTGTACGTACAATCACCAAACATCAGAACTGGGTGGCTTTTCCAGTCATCGACTTACAACAGTTTTTGGTTGCCAGGTGGCGAAACCCCACCTTTGGAAAACCTTCCACACTTACCAAGAATTAAGAATAGCAAGAAAACCATCCACTTCCTTCTAGCAGCTCCCCTGTTTCATGGCATGTGTACACCTTTGTCCTAGGAAATGCCCCAAATTCTGGTGCCACTCTTAACTCCACTCCTTGCATTTGTAAATGGAGTTTGATCCAATACCCACAGATCGCAGTCGGGAAGCACAAAAAACCATCACTCAATCCTTCCCATCCCAGCCTAACAAAAAACAACACAAAATAGTACCAAATCACTTTCCTGTTAATTTTCCTGCAACAGTTTTCTTTGAGAATTGTATCTACTCCTGACCTCATGAAAGGCCACTTGAAAGGAGACTTGCTGTTAGGATTTGCTATGGTTTTGAAGACCTTCCTTGAACACTCAGGGGTGGGAAGACAAGGGCTTCCTTTGTTGTTCAAAAATCATAGGTACTCTTAACATTACATGGCACCGCCAGGTGATTATGTGAATTCTGCAGTACCAGAGGCCTTTGGTCTTGATTTTGGATTTCTCCTCCAGCCGCTTTGTAGGACACTCACGTGCGGCAGCTGTTGGAGTGAAGGGCTAAGCTGGGCTGGTGGATCGGAAGGGGCCACTGAGCAGACTAGTTTGCTTCAAGCAGATACTAGGAACAAGGTTCGCTACTAGGAACAAGTGCATCGCTTCTAGTAACAAGTGCCTTACTAGTAGTAACAATGTTTGCTATTAGGAACAAGAAGCTACTAGCAGCTAGAAGCTACTAGGTGGAGGCCATCCATCGCTATTAGGTTGGAGCCCATCGCTACTAGGGCAGACTTCACCAGGAATGCATACGGCTTGTAAAAATAGGATGAATTAATGGCCATGTTGGTTGGCTGGCCACGTGAGTGATTCTTATGTTCGAGTACAGACAAATTATAGACCTGCGGAAACTAGGTACATGTAAGCTTTTATCCCATTTGCTGTACACAGTGCAGTATGATTGGCTCCTTTGATGGAATCTTCTCGGAATACATTGTTGCCCTGAGATTGACACTTCACTCGGCTCTGAACAAGGCCATTCTTCACCACTTGAGTTCGCAGGGTCCGTTGTTGCTCCCCGTTGACAGACCGGTGCGCTCCTGTGCGCTCCACCTGGGCGCGACCGAGGCACTGTCCGAAGCTCTCGCGCTTGGACCTGCGCTTTTGCGAGCGCCTCTCCGATGCGGCTCGGGCGTTCGTTTGGGGAGTGTGAAGGGAAGTGAGTTGGCGTTCGGCGGTTTTGGGAATCTGGTCTTCAGAAGATCTGATGTTTTGAGGAACATCTCATTGAAGATATTTCAGTACTCACTGAGGATGGGCGCTGACATAGAGATACGGTGTAGGGGTCCTATCCACAGAGATATTGCTAGGACTTCACGAAGTGCGCCTTTTTTTGAGAAGGACATCTACATCACTGACCGACCACCCAGCTGGCATCACAGACAGGACACATTTTTCACACCTCTGTTGGGATGGCTAATGGATGGGGCCTGCTAGTGAAGAAAGGTGCAAGTCAATGCCTTGGCAAGATTGTGGAGCAGGTGTTCAGTCCCTATCCGGCCAAAGAGGGAAGTTGTTTGTGACGGTCCCAACCAACCCCTGCCCATATTGACTGATCGTGACCATCCATACTGACCCCCAAGCAAAATCTCGTGTTTGCACAGTTGGCGCCGGAACAAACTCCAACGGGTTCGAGCCCTTCCCAGTCCAAGTTCTTTGCAGTTGGCAGCGCTTTGGTTCTCGGCATCCGAGTCCGACTCCAAGAGAATGCATTCGGGAGCGAATCTGCCGTGACCATCGTCCGCCATGGTCAGGGACCATCCGTCAGTGCCGAGCCGCCGAGGTGAGCTGTTTCATGCACTCCTCTGGGCGGTGGCGGTCCTTGCAGTCAGGGTGGCTTAGAACGTCGACGCGCAGTCACTTCTGGGCTCCGCGCAGTCAACTCTGCAACTTTTTTCCCACAGATCCCTGCAAATATACGAGCTAAGATGTCCGCAAAAAGGCCACTTGACGGTGCAGCTTCTTTATTCTTAGATGATGGTTGGTAGCTCCGCCAGTCGTGGGAATCTTGGTGCGGTAATCATCGAAAGGTGGCTTCGTTCTGGGGCTAAGCACGTAGACAGGGCGAGCCCTTCAGTAGGACCCCAGCAGTGACTCCAGCTTTTGGAGCATTCCAGTTCTTCCACTCTTGATTGCTATTGAAGTCGCTGGGTTCTTGGATTTGCAGCAGCGACAAACTAACGCAACTTAAAATGTCGTGGTAATGTCAAGGACCTCTCCAAGCATGGCCGTTGCGTAGTAACGTAGTAGTATAGTGAACAAAATAGACCCAAAACTTAAAGATGGTGTCACCAACCTTTTTTCCCATCACTGGACAAGTTCACTGTTGGATCATGTGTTCTCGCTGGTTTCCCACGAGGTGGTGGTTCGTCAACGGTTGCTTGGAGGGGGGAATTCAGGGTGATACTTCTGGGAGGACCTATACTCACTGATTGAGAGGTGACCACCCAAGAGAAGATCTCTTCTCAGTTTGCTGGTCTCCGGAACGTGGGTCTGCAATATACCAGAATCATGCTGGCCGTTTTCGCTCAAAAATCAAGTGACAATGAGTGACATGTCCCATGAAGAAAGAGAGCAAAGTGATAGCCAAAGTGCAAAAATGGTTTCAACGGCTGTTGGAAGAACATGTCATTGCTCCTAAACTCAGACTCGGATTCGGAAAAGGGATGAGTCTCTTCCTTCAGACAGTTCTGTGAGGATTGGATGAGTTGTGGCCGCTAGAGAAAAAGACCAAAGAAACACTAGCAAAGCGATAAGATCGCAAATAGTCCCCTCAGATACTAGTAGTTCACGACCTAAAGTTGGCTGCAATGAACAATGGAAGAAAGAAAGAGACGGCAGATCAACGCCAGTATATAATTCTACCCTACCACAACCGACCGCCAACGGTCTTTCTAACTTCAGCATTTGAAAACCAAAAAACTCCAACTCGGCGCGTGCGGCTCTCCCCACACTGGGCCCGACGGGTCGCGCTCTCCCGGCCGCCCACCCGCCCCATGGACTCCTCGGACGTCTCGCTGGCCATCCGCCGGGCCCGGCGGAACAACGCCAAGAGCCACCCGGAACGGAACACGCGCGTCTTCGCCGAGCCGGGGTGGGCGATGTTGTTTAAGCAACGCGGGAGAGCTCGGTCCAATGAGTTGGTGGTCTTTTTTTGGAGGACGTCTTTGTCTTCGGGAAATTCAGGGGAGTATACTGGTTATACAGATCTTTTGAAACATGTTTAGTTCTCTCAACCGAGTGCTCAGTCGGGCTCTCTCTTCGAGGAAAAGGATCGCGGTTTTCCAGATCAGGGGGATGTCATTGGTCCTTCTTGGACATGGCGAACGGAAATGATCCTCTTCCCCACACGTCCGCACTGGCACAATTCTCTCTCTCTCTCTCTCTCTTTTTGACGTCCGCACTGGCGAGACATGGTCGATTTGGCACCATTTGCCTCTTTGGAATCCACGGAGTTTGATTTGTTTAATTCTATTAATTCTAATTCTATTGAATTCTTGTTTCTAATAGCTTCTTGTTACTAAGGAGCCCCTAGTAGCGTCCTTGTTCCTAGTAGCGATGCCCTTTGTTCCTAGTAGTGTTCTCCCCCTATTAGAAATAGAACATGTTTTAAAAGATCTACCCACTACGTTGCTTTTGACCGGTGGTTCTGAATGAGGGTTTCCCATGGTTTATACTCACCGAGATCTGGACTTGAGCCGCCGTGGGCTGAAGACCTGGCCCGTGGAGCTCTTCAACTTGCGGCAGTGGCTTGGGCAGAAGGCGTTGGACTTGCTAACGTCGTCATTACCAATCCGAAATCGGCAAGTCTCATGTTTGACATGTTTCACATCATGTTCAACAGTGCAGAACTTGCTGAGTGGATAAGGTTGAGTTCTGCGAAACCTTGGAGTCCGGGTGTCGCTTAGGCAATTTAGTCTTGTGGCATGGGAATCGTTTGGAGGTTTTATCCCCGTGATGCTCAATACGGTCGCCTTATGAGGACATGTCGAGGGACCGGAAGTCCAACTCGCGTGTTTGTCAAGGGGAACAGATCGTTTTGTCCACGGCAGTGGAGTCAATCTTATAGCTTGTAAGGACCAGTGATGTTTGCAGAACAGTTAGTGAGCGTGTATTGTTCCAAATCCCCGAAGCAAGTCGAGCGTGCAGTCCAAAAGTCAGTGAGCTGGTGATCATGTCGGACACAGTCCCTGGCACCTCCTAAGTCATGTGGCAAAATGTCTGGGGACTCAGGTATCCCCAACACCCCACAACACCTAGCAAATCTCATCACTGAGTAGTGAAACATACTGAAACTCTTTCGTCCAAAAAATCGCTACGGCAATGCTTTGAGGGAAATCCGTGAAAAATTCTGCTGAGCTCAAGATCGACAGGAAACGGCAGGAACTGGATCGGTCACAAGACACCCTGCGGACCCTGCGGACCCCTTTGCATCGCTGCATCGTTTGAGGTTGGAGTCCTTGGATGTGAGCCAGGGAATCCCAGCACCACGACGTTCCGGATGCCGCGATCAACAGTAGCTGGTGCCAAGAACTTCCCCATGACTTCCCATAACTGTTTCCACACCGACACTCGCTTAGCCGGTGATGCTCTGATCTCGAATTTTCTGACTGGTGGCGACTCGTAGGGAATGAGGGTGGCTTTCGCCCCCATGTATCGACTCCTTTGGATCCAGCCCTCATTCCCTACGAGTCGCCACCAGTCAGTTTTTACCTGCGATGCTCTCATGGACAGCCACTGTCGCTCACCCCTGTCGCTCTGTCCGACGGATCTCGGTACACGAAGCGGGTCCGGCACCAGACGAAGCGGTTTCGCCACATGTTCCGGTTTCGGCGCGACGTTCTTCACTGAAGAGTTGACATCTGGAACTCTGGAACATGCCATTCTGCATGATACATGCCATCTTAGCTGCACCATGATCCTGTTGTCCAACCAATTCTTGCATGTGCCAGGGCAAAATCATCGTGGTCAGAAGAACCTCATAATTTCTGGGTCACGACTGCTGAAAGCACTCACGATGGTTTCATCGTTGAGCTCCTGAAAATCCGTCCTCAATAGGCGGTCTCTATATAGTTTCAGCTGAGAAGCTATAATTCTCGAAGCAGAAAACGACTTCCAATTCTCTACACGCGCTGTTTCCGGTTTGCCATGGAGGAACCAGCCGGGAGCCTCAGTGGTTCCGTGTGGATGGTACCAATCGATGGGAGAAACCCAGCGAAGGTATACGGTATACGGATTATTACGGATGTTTTTCATGGATGTATATGGTATAGTTATATACTCTATAGAGAGAGAAGTACAAATGGTCATATATGGCGCACAGTCAGTTTTATGTCCTTTTCTGATATAGCATTGAATGCGGGTGGCCAAACAGCGTCCAATCACATCAGACTCTTCAAACCCTGAGACATCCTGAGACCATCGAAACGGTGTCTTTTTCGGGGCCGAGACGATTGAACGCATGGCCCCCGAAGTTGGTCGAACACCACGACAGCTGGACAGATAGGATAGGAGTGATCGCCAAAGACCAGGAGCCGATTTGATCACTTTGATGTCCCGGGTTGTGCCACTATTGTTAGTGGGCTGAACTTCTTCAGCAGCCTTAGCCTCAGCCTTGGGTTCCCAGGTTCTCTAGAAGACCCTTGGTGCATCTCAACACGAGGAACATCACTACACCACCCTTTGACCAGCAAAGAGGTGGTCTAGAGTCAAACGTGCATTCGGGGTAAGGACTCGTGACTATGCAAGGGGTATAAGGGGTGTAGTTCATTGTATCGTATCGTGGGGTCCTGGGGTAGGGAAGAATGAAGAGAATTGTTCGTGTTTTGCGTCTCAAGACGTGAATAGTAGCAGAATCAGCTCTGATTGAGACCAGGACTATTTGTGTACATGTGTTGAGATGTAAGGAATAGTAAGGAGTCAGAATAGTAAGGAGTATTTTCTCAGATCCACTTCTGTGAAGATGTTCCATTGCTTTCCTCGCTGGGCCGCCTCCCACGGCACACGGCAAGGCCGATGGTCGGCCTGGTGGCCCTCGATGGAAGCCAGAATTCGGCGGACAGAGCGACTGGGCATCCGAAGCACCGGAAGCCACGGCAGTTGATCTGGTGATGTTGAAACTAATAAAGAACTTCTATAAGCAGGAATGGCCTCCAACCTGATAGCGATCGCCTCCAACCTACTAGCGATGGCCTCCACCCTACTAGTGATGGCCTGAGGTTGATGGAGGTTGGAACGGCTGGCCACATTTGATGGAGGAACTTATAAGCCCCAAGAGATTTGCCCGTGAAAGGTCAGCAATGATGTTTAGCTGGTTGACATTGCTCAGACAGATTGCTTTGAGAGGATGTGATAAGCGAGGAGCCAATTGAGGACTTCCACTCCCGAAGTTTGTCTACCAGTGTACATGTTTTCACATCCATGTTTTCAGGAGATACTGAAAGGGGAACAAAAACCGTTTTCGGTGCCAAATTCAAGCACGCTGAAGTGGTTGGAGTGTTTCCCACCTTCTGCGTCAAGTTGTGTGACCATATAGATTTAGATCTTCCCTGTATGGCATTGGTTTTTGCCCACCCCTCACTTCTTTGGGAATTTCGCGCCATTCGCGTTCGCATCCACGCCATGCGCGTCACCCTTCACCCCCGGTGGTGTCACTCGAACACTCGAGGCGAATCACCCCGGCCGGGGGCCCCCAGCAGCGCCAGCGCCGAAGCGTCACGGGAAGACGGATGAAGCGTCACTCAGTGTCCGAGCCGAGGTGGGAAAGGGTCTCGGTGGCTTTTTTTGGGACGAGACACGTGTTGAAGGAGTGTTCAAGTGTGTTGAGGAAAATAGGAAGTCTTGCAAAACTGGAAGTCCAGGTGATAGTGGAAGCAGTCGAATCCAGCTTTCATATATTTGGCTGCGAAAAAAGAGCTGCTACATAGGTCTTTACTGTTGGACAGGCTATCACTTTGGAAAGGTTGGGCAAAAGGGGAGATAGCTGTACTATAGACTGGTTGTTGCTGGCTTTTGTGTGGCACTGTGTTGTAACAGCTTGGGTTGTCGCCCTACCGCTTGTCCAAAACAACCTCTCGAACCCATAGCCCTAGTTGCAGCCCCCTATTTGTGGGCCCTTCCCTCCATCCACTGACATTTGTTTAAAACCCAGGCTCCGCTACCCCATGCTACGCCAACCAGCCAAAGCCTACCAGGCCAGCTGGCACCCTGCCTGGTGACGTGGGCTTGCCCTGCCGCCACTCGGACCACTTGAGCTCAAGCCGGTAGCTGTTGGGCCGTCTTCGATGTTCGGCTGTGGATGAAAGTGATCAAAGGCCGCGATGGCCTCCACCCTAAAAGACAACGGGCATAGAATCATTGGATATTGCTGGAGATTCCCATTGCATGGCTTAGTTTCCAGATGTGTTCCGCTTTTGGGGGTGGAATATACTGTCATGGATAGCGAAGACACTTCGTTTTGTGATGTGAAATCCAAGTTCACAAGATTTGACAAAGACAAAAAAATATTGGTAAAATAAAGGACAAATTGGAAATTCGTGAACTGGCCCAAAGGTTTGCCTTGAGTCGCAGCGCAAAGATGGTGCTTTTCTCCAGTGGATGCTTCGTTGTTCGTTGTCGAACTTGTCGCCGTTCGATCTCTGGTTGAGCCACTCCGTTCTTCAGGACACCTCAGCAAACAGACCCATTCGATCGTAGCGTTCATCCTCAGACATGTCGATTCGGAATTGGTTCTGGAGTTGATGTCGCTGCAAATGATGATTTCAAGCGGGATAGTCCGAACATGTGCCTTTGAGGTCAATTGAGGATAGATTTGGGACGTAACTTGCATATTGTGAGCAACAATATCCGATAAATTCCGATAACATCTTGTGAGCACTTCCTTCAGTTTGTTTCATGTACTTTTAAATGGTTTTGGTATGGCATCGTCCAGCATAGCTGAGATGAACCACTGGGTATTCCAGAGCTTGCTAGAAGATGTGCAAGCTTGGTACTTCGCTTGTTTGAATCCAAACCTTTTTGGGTCGGCTCTGATGGTTTCTGAAACCTCCCCGCCCGGCGAACCGCCCAGGCGAAGAATCGGAAGATGCCTCGCGAATCTCCCAGGACTCGAGAACCTCTTCACCGTTTTTCTCGGTGTCTTCACGAACGTCGCAGCGTGACCTTTGTTCGTTCGGAGTGTCAGGGCACCTGTTACGGCTTTCAATGGATGGCGCATGCTAGTTTTGGGGAGGTCTTGAACAATGTTCTAGATTCTAGGGCGGGCGGCAGGCGCGTTTCGTGGGAAAATTGAGGCGTTGGAATGTGTTGGAATTATGTTGAGATGAAATAGAGTTGCTTTTTTGCGACATTGCAGGAGGCGACGGAAGTGTTCGACGGAGTGGTGATGTTGCCTAGCGAAGTCAGTCCATGCATGTCCATGTCCATTCGGTCTCCAACTCATCAGGTGTGCGTCCATGCGGAAATGATTCTTCCACACTGAGCAACCAAGATCCAAGACCACGTGCTTCACTCAGTTTTCATGTGTTCCTTATATATAGAGAGAGAGATGGCCACTCTTGGTACATCTTGGTACCGTACCATGCTGTATATACCGCCAGTCCATCAGCGGATCCTTCTCGGCTTCCTTCCGTTCGTTCCAATTCACGCGCAGGAGTTTCAGAACCTCCTGCAGCCTGGATGTGATTTTCAGGTTGGATGGGAGTTGAGAGCTGTTTTTCAGACTTCAGCACCGTTTTTCTTCCCAAGTTCCGCACTTGTTCCCTCTCCCAATGGAAGAACATGTTCCTCAACGGGATGTTTGGGAGAACATCAACTCTATCTATCTATCTGCATATATAGTATATATATGTATATGTGTTTGCCTCCAAACAAATATAAGATACAAAAAGGAAAACAGTCCATGGATGTCCAAATCCTCTCTATTAAAACCACTGGCGTGCCGGCACGGGCGTTCCGACACCAAACCCGGGTGGCACCTCGTTCCCGCCTGAGGAATCAGCTGGTGGCTCGGCACCTCGAAGAGGTCGTCGAGGCGACCTGGCGACCTGGCGCCGTGCGTTGTGTGGAGTGTAGGCTGATCGTCTCCAGTCCATGAGTAACAAAGAAGAGTCCACAAATTGTTCATGAAAGGAGTGACAATATGTCATGTGGTTCACTATGGCTGATCTGGGTGAAGCATGAAGCATGAGGGAAATGCCTGGGAAAATGTGCCTGGAGGCCAGGACAGTCAACTAAATCCACACTGATGTTCACATGGAACGTTGACACAGAGGCCGCTGAAGACTCTGCTTGATAGACACATCGTTTGAATTGAAAGGGTGAAGCTTACACCATTTAAAGAAAACACGGTCAGACGAGGTCAAAGGACCAGAGAAACGGGTCACTTGACACTCCGGTGGTCAACCGGGAGGGCCCTTGGAGTGAGCTCCATGGGATCTGACGTTGGACGTGGCATCCACCCCTCAGGAAAT